TTTCTGTCCTGTATGAAAGGCAACCTCTTCATGCTGCAGCACCCAGCAGAAACCCCTGAGTCGTCTTATCAGCCTCATCTGCATTTTTCATCATTTGAAAGAGCTGCAAGTAACGCTCAGCCTATGAACTCAGCTCATGTGTGTTCTTTTTCCATCTTCAGCATAGGGGGCAGACAATAGGTTTTTTCAATCTCCAAAGAACTGAAAATGTATTTTATTCTGCCACTTCTGGCTCCAGTTTTATTCTTTCACTTTTGTTACCAGGTTTGAGTTCTTGGGACAGCATTTGGCCAAATTCCTTTGGTGTCAGCTCTCTCCTCCATGCCCAGGAGAGTTGCAAGGCTCCAGCATCATTCCAGGGAGCTGTTTCCCTGCTGTTGATATAAAAGACAGGTTGAAATCCTGAACTCATGGGTTCCCATCTGCACTGCATGTGCTCCGTTGGGAGCTGGTCCATTGGGCCATGAGTCCATTACACTCAGTGCTCCTTCCAGCCCTACGTCCTTTCTCCAACAGGTGCTGTGGAGGAAACAGTTTTAGTGGCAAACACAGTAAACCAGCCCAGGAACCAAGTCAGAGTGCCTGAAATTAGGGGAAGTCTCAGAGATTTAATGCTCTTTACTAAGTATTATTTCCCATTCTCTCCAATCACGGTGGATATTCTTTCCTTTTTTAATGTTCAGCTGTGGTAAATTCTTGCTCTCAAAGACATCTAGTGTTGGTGAGTGCCAAAGTAGTTGGAAATGAGAATTTCCATTTTGCAAATATAAAAAACAAAAATTCAAAGAAAAAATTCCCAAGAATTCCCATTCCCATTGTTACTGCAAAATATTAATTGTTGATCACTGAGATAATTTGCTTCAATAGCATTTGATTGTTTCTTTTTACCATTTATCTCATAAAGGATACAATGAAAGACACTGAATCAACACATTGAAGCTTAAATGTAATATATTACTTTCTTTGGAAAGTGCTTGTTATATTTATAACATTTGTAAGTATTGTTATGGATACTTTATTTCAAATGCTCCTATTTTTACTACAGTGCACCATACAACAGAAAACTGAAAAATATTTTATTCAGCTCTCTACCATAGTTCAATTAGGGAATGAAGATAATAAGTTTCTTTTTATCATTTTTGCATTTGCCATCTTTTCATTTCAGTAAATCCCTTGTTGTAAGGTGAAGTTTCTAACCTTTTCCAGCTATTCCATTTTCATACTTGGATCATGTCCTTCTTATGTGTCTCTTTTCTAATGTTAATAACCCTGTGCTTTTAACTTTTCTTCAGGTGAGAGTTGGTTTGAGTTTTTTAAAATTCTTGACTATTCATAATTATAGAATTTTTTTATCAGGTTCCAATTTACCTTTGCATCACACTTTTTGCTCAGAAGGGATTAGAAATAATGATATATTTCTGAAAGAGCTTTGTTATTGATAAAGGAATTTAGTGATATTTTAACTTTTTTCAAATGATCTTGCTGGTTTTTTTTTCACTGCAATTCAATACTATCACTGATAATGCTTATGTCATTTGTTTTTCTGAATAGAAAATGAAAACATTTTAAGAATCACTAGAAGAAAAAAAAAAGCCTGAAAACATTTTACTCAGTTTTCTATGGAAAAACCCCATATATTTGCACGTTAAAATGTATTTATTATCATGGTAGCTCTTCACCCACCTGACTTACATCTCTCCAGGGGTGAATGATAGTCATCTTTGGCTGCTCATGGTTTGTCTAATGAAACCAGGTGTGCTCTGCATTGCTTTTGATTCTGCAGCAAGAGTAGCACACCGCTGTAATTTTGCTCAAATCCCAAGCACCAATATGCTTAAATTGCTTTGCATTCGTGTACTGGCTTTTTACATTTCACCTACCTGCATATTCTTCAAAGTGTACTGAACATTGCCAAGCTGCTGAGATGCTTAATGGATTCTTACCTAAGTGCCTCTGTCTCCTCCACAGTCTCATAGGAAGTTGAAGGACTGAAGGCAGGGTGTTTGAAGGCATCTGAGTGGTTCTGCTTGGAGTGGTTCTGCTTAGCTTTAGACACCCAGCATTATCAGGAGGCTCATCTCTCTGGGTTTGCCCTCCTCCATAAGGAATGCTCAAGTGCTGCCAGTTTGTAGAGAGACAATATTGCAAGTTCCTGTGAGTAAATCTCAGTGCTATGGGTATGAGCAGGTATAAATTCTCAGTCTTGGTTTGTTTCACAGAGTAATAATTTCAGTGGACTTTATCAGATATGTAGCACAAATATTGCAGGATGTTTTGGCTGCCTTGTCTATATGACATAAAATTGAGATGCAAGATCAAGACGTATTCACCTCAAGGCAGAGAAGTTGTTTCCAAGTACCAAGCATGAGTGGATACTTGATTATTTTGGTTCTTGCAGCCCTTACTTACTCTATGTTTTTAATCCAAATTACTCAACATGGCAGTTTTTTAATTTTCATCTTCCAACAGCTACCTAAGTCAGCCTGATTTTTGCCTAAACATTCCATGGCTTTTTCTGTGTGATCCCTTTTCTCTATATAATGAACCCAAAGGGTCTGATCCTAGACTTCCCCTCTCCAGTGGCAGTTCAGGAACTTGCTTGAGATTAAATACAATGTCAGTCCAGTGTCTTAAAAGCCTACTGTTTATTACGAAGTCCTCAGATCTGTCCAAAGAATTACATGGCAGCACATACCCTCAACTCTAAATGGCAACAAATGTTGAGCAAGAAAGATTTCAGAGAGCTGAATTATCTCGTTAAATTAACTGGAACATTTTAATTTTTACTAGAGTTGAGTGAGCATGAGTAAATATGACGAATTGGACCCTCACTTCATTTAGCAGACATCAAACACACACAGAACGTTGCCCAATTTAATTTAGCCCTGCCAAGCTGGGAAAATGCTTGTAAAACATCAGTGAAGAAGAAAAGGGCTAAAATTTACTCTTGGTTGAGATTGCATGCATAAATTCCCTACACATAAACTGGTGTTGTATATGGATGTATGTATATATACCATAAACCTTCCCTCAGGGAAAATCCTCCAAACACCTGCAACCAGAATTTGTGCTATCATGAGTTATTCCCAGTAAAGTCAATAATAACCTTCCCTTTTGGTCTAAATGGAATATGTAACTCCTGTCTTGCACCCCAAGGTTTATCTCCTTTTCCTCTGCTGTCTCTTATCAAACACATACCAGCACTGTTGTTTGTTCAGTCATGCTCTGTAGAGTGGTTGGGTTTTTTTTTTTGCTTTATCCCCTGAGCTTAATGGGCACATTTTGTGAAGAGTGAGCCAACCAGGTAAATAGCTGCTACTATGGAGCTTAAGAGCTACAGCTCTCAAATTAGGAGGTGCTTTTTGTCAAATAGGCCACTGTAGCTCTAATATTAGCAACAAAACAAGGGCTTTTCAGACAAGAAAAAAAAAATCTTTTGTCTGAGTCTGTATCACACTTAACTCTGTTGCCTTGTCAAATATGTCAATGTTCATATTATACAGCAGCATTCATCTGTGGATGCAAAAGTGCTTTGCAAATATTACCTCTCGAATACTTTTAATTTATATTTAACAACCAGGTTTGTGAGATGGTACTCAAAAAGAATCAGAGTGAACTATTTTAAAAGTTAGTATAAATAAATTATAGTGATTTATTTGCTTTCCTGTTGCTCTATAGAAAGTTGTTGGCTTGAGCTCCAGGGCAAAGCTACCTAAGCCTACTTCAAACAGCTTTTTTTCTCCTTTTGTTTTAATACCATGTCCACACATCTCTACATGCTTCTTGAATTCTGGTTTCAGCTTCTCTCTTGCTGTAATTGGCAATCATCTTCTGGTAGAGCACCAGGAATGAGGTACACGGGAGACAGAATGCAGCCCTGAGTAGACGTGTTACTATCTCCAATGCATCCAACACACAAAAATAACTGTCTTTTTTTCCAGCTTTTAAACAAAATTGTATTACTTTTTTGCATGCTTCAGAAGCATTAGCTAGAAACATTACTGAAGGAGTTCCTTGCCTTCAGGCTATGCAACTTGTCCCAGTGTTTTAAGGCATTTTTACTGAGTTTTTAAGCAAATTTGCTTTGAGCACAGTCTTTCATCCTGTGTTTTCTGACAACAAGGCTGCAAGCCTGTTTGCAGAAAGCAAATGTCACAGACACATGTTATGAGTTTTAAACTGGTCTGTGAAACACTGCTATAGGATGGCTTTTACTGCTACACATCTGAAACCACAACAATAGTGAGTCCTTACCTGCTTACTGAAAACACCCTGGATATTGAGCATTCCTTATCTCAATTTGTCAGCTAGATTATTAGTTTAAAATTATTAGGTTTTGTGAGTAGTCCATGTGCTCGTTATGTCTATAAGAAATACAGACATAGTTAGTTAGTTTTATGTTAAAAGTTTTATGTTAGTTTTATGTTAAAAGAATGCATTGAGGCAAAGGGAAGTGGAGAGAAGTTGCAGACAGGCTGTCTTTGGTGCTCTGCTGCCCTATTGGTCTGTCCTAGGTCTTGAGTATCAGAGCTGGTACATGTTCACAACACTGCTTTGAGTTTTCTGACAACTGCAGGTGATTTTTCCCTTTGAAAACCAGGATTTTGGTACCCAGAGTTGGGTTCCCAGACTGAAAAATTTTAAGTCTCAAGTCTTTGTTTTCATCAGAGATATGCACAGACAGTGACTGAGTGAAATGACATTTGGACTGTCTATCAAAGAATGGCTGAGCAATACGAAGTTGTTGCTGTGGAGCACATTTATTCTTGGTGCCAGTTTGGTGAGGATGCTCTCTGCCTGCTGAGGAATGCAGGGGTGCTGCTCATCCTTGGAGCACAAGGCTACTTAGGGCTGGTTTGTTTGCAGGTCTGTTTTAGGGTAATAATTCTGCAGACAGCTGTGTTGTGTAAGAAAGCTTCCATTCAGGTACACAGGGCTCAAATAATTAGATGTTCTCCTAGGGCAGAGACAAACATTGTCCTTCTCTTTTTTGAAAGCAGATGAACTTGCTAGGCCCACCCTAATGCTCTGGGGTTGTCTCCTGCCTGATGGACTGCCACCAAAGCTCTAAAGCCCTCTCACACAAAGGCGCCACGGGACTCCCACCCTCGACATGAGCGCTCTGCCTGCCTCTGGCGCTGCCTGTCAGACCCGCTTCAGCTGGAATCAAGGTAAAGAATCAGCAGCACTAAATACTGCAGGACAAAGGCATAAACCAGCTTTGTAACCCTGGGCAACCTGGGTGTTTGCTGACTGACAGTGTGAATGACAGCCCAGTTGTCGCTCTGAAATACCGTCTTCTAATCATTCCAGATGTCACCCGACAAGATGATGGCTACTAAAAAGGGAATAATTTGGGAAAAGTCATAAAGCCTATTATCTCCTGCTGAAACAATTTCTCTTTGCCATTTCTGAAGTCTCTGCAAAATAGATCCAGAATATCCCATATGTAGCATGCCAGTGGTTTATTAGGAGAGGGTGTCCACTTAGAACTGCACTGGGTACCCCATGACATTCCTGGAGAAAGCCACCCCTGAGCTGTGCCACTTCTTCATGTCTTGGCAGGTGACTCCAATCTGGCCATACAGTGGAGTTGAAATATTTCACCTGTTCCAAAACACAACAGGCAGCAAAAGGCTATCATAGTACACACAGCCTGACAAATCAGAGAGAGGATGGAGATGATCACAAAGCAGCAGAGTGCAGTTTCTGGGTAGAATTCTTATCATTATCTTTTCTCCTTAACAAATAAAGAAACATCTGAAAATATTGTTAGGGCCTTTTCATTTCACTTAATTTATTCAATTGCATTTTTATTTCAGTGTAAAGACAGGACTTCATTCTGAACTTCAGGCTGAGTGAAGGGCTGCACATGAAGGAAATGTAACAAAAAAAAGAAAATTTCTTTTGAGAAGGGCAGCAAAACATAGCGGATGAAATGGAGGAGTGAGGGAGGACAGAAAAGACAGAAAATTATAGTATCTGAATCCTAAGCTTTAAATTTTAAAAGTATAGCTTCAACTGCTGAAGTTAGAATATATTTTGTCATCCATATAAAACTAAAAATGAACCCCTAGATTGTTTCATTACAGCAGGGTGTTTTAAGGGCAGAAACTGCAACTGGAAAACTTTAATCAATTATTCTGTCAATTCCATCCAAAATCTAGTGGAGGAGATTGCAGACTGAGCCAGAAAATTCTGTATATCATTCATGTAAAATGTCTTAGTGAAATACACTGAAAAGTTGTGCCAAACTTTGGTAAAGACAGAAGTATGTTTAGGGCAACTATAAAAAACCTCTCTCCTGTCAGCTGCATTGGGCCTTATTCTGCCACTGTCACTCACACTGGCTGATAACTGACTCTAATCAATTGCAATGAAAGTAGTGGAATAATTTATGTAGTAAGGAGTTAAATTTGCATGAATTTAGGCAGAAGATTGTAGTAATTTGTCTTAATGAATAATTTCATATTGCTTGCTATCTGCCTGAGAAATTCTGTAATGGTCAGGATGGTCACAGGGAAGCATAGAAAAAACCTAGCTTTTCTTACTGGCATTTATACTGGTGTGTCATGCAAATACAGTTTCTTCTTAACTTATTAGCTCCCCTTGCAAAATATTTAATTTTATCATATGGTAGTTGTGAAGTTTTAGCTTGTCCTAAGAGCAGCTTGAGTATAGCACCAAAGGCTTGAACTTCAAAACAGTGACTTGAATGGTTTTGTGTAATGAGTTGTGGTAAAAGATAATTCTGAATTCCCCACCCCCCCCACCATGCCACTTAGATAACATTTCTTTCTGTGATATTTTGGCCATGAATTCTCTTTGTCATGGAGCAACCCAGAACAACATCACAAAATATATTTATTTCAGATTTTGTAGAAAGTGATCTTGAGTCTCTCTTGAAAGTTTATCAAATTAGGTATTGGTTGTCAGTATCTGTGAATCTTAATTTTAGCATGGTTGTGTCTCACTATCTCTGTGTACTCATATGTGGGTTTGGGGTTTTTTTTGCACGTTCTGGATTCCTTTTAAATCTATAGAGTAGATATATTTTTATACAAATCTATGTGTTGTTCATTATTAGGATCCCCCTTTCTAACTGAAATACATTTTTTTTAATATAACTACTCCATGTCTTGCAAAGTTTAGCCAACTGACACAACAGTGTTCTGGTAACCAGTAACTCTTTTTTCAAGCTAAAGTTGACATACGTGCTCAAACTGTAGGAATTTAAAATCAAGGGGCTGCAAATGCTGCCCTTGCTTGGTAATCAAGTCCTAATTGTTGCAGTGATTCCACGGTGGCAGGCAAAGTTAGGAGCCAGTAGGAAATAGAAATGTACAAGTGTACATCCATCTGTGCATCTCTGTGCCAATAAACACTTGTAGATTCGCTTGAATTGCAGACAATTCAAGTGAATCTACCTAGTTGTGTATATTATAGAAAAGGACTTTGATTTTCTACAAAACTGTACATGAATTTTATGTTTGTAAATAGTTTTTTCATGTAAAAAATAAAAATCCACTGAAAAATACTGGAAAACTGCTTCAAATTAATTCTTTAAATATACCAGACATAATCTGTCATTTCACAATGTTGGAGGGCAGGTTTTTTTGTTTCAGAACCTTCAATAATTTTCTGTTCTGATGACATTTTCTCTAGAATTTTGTTGTCAGTTAAAAACCTGAAAGGCACTCAAGACTTCAGTTTGTAAAATGACTTGGGCTGGAACTTAGAACAGTGTTTGCACAGTCCCTCTGAACCAATGGGTCTTATGGAGCTCTGATGTGGATGCAAAGTGTGAAAGGAAACACCAGGCCTGTAAGAAGTAATAGTGAACAGCAGATACTGAAAAAATGTCTGTGAGGAACCAAAGGCAGTCAGTTATTAAATTTATTACTGGATACTGCTAGCAGCAATTTTGTAAAAATCAACCAACTTCTCTTCCCTCTGGTATTTCAGCTATCCATTTCATATTGTTCTATTCTTTAAATTGTATCCCTAATACCACAGCTCCAGGGAAGCTCAAAAAACTTGAGGGCTGAGTTGTATTTGTTACCAATTTTCTTTTATTAAATGATAAAGAAATGATGAAAAATGCTGTGTGTTATCTTATTTTCTAGCAATGTCATGCCCTTAAATACTGTTTAATTTCTCTTTGCTATGCTTTAGTGACTTGTTTTGAGCTACCCATTTTACATTTTACTCAGTCTTCTATGGTAATTGCATCTGCCTATGCTTCATCAAGACTAATAACTCACTAGGCATTTGGATTCAAAAAAGTAATGATAAAGGAGTGAATTTTTTTAAAAAACTACTGACTAAAGTTTTTATTATTTGAGCTGCATTACAGTGCTTTGGCAACTGGTTGTTGGAAAAGTAGAGCCAAGCACAGGAATCTCAACATAAAGGCCTGGTTCCTCACCTCTTCCTCGAGCCTTTGCCACTGGCTGCTGCAGGAAGCAGGACTCTGCCAGAAAGACCTTTGCTCTCATCCAGTTGTTCTTTGCTTGAATTTTATGCTTTGATTTTTCTTCTCTATTTTGCAGATAGATTACTGGAGGATAAAAGGACCAGAAGAAAGTCCCTGTTTTTATTTCACACTATTCTACTTCTCATTTTACAGTCCCTTCACTGCCTGGAAGGAGGAAAGAAAATGAAGAGGAGAACAAATATTCCTTGCTTTCCTGAGGCTGGTAATCCAGGCAGTTGCAGTCTCAACCTCTTATAGCTCAGTTTTCCCAGTAGCTTTAGGAATATTTTCTGCAGGCTTGGCTCTCCAATGTCAGAGCTGCCAGAGGACCATGGCAGATTAGTTGGTAACCGGCAATCTCTCATAATTTATTCCAGGATCTTTAAATTTCTGCGTGATTTTCCCATAAAAGACAGTTTCTCTAGAGCACGTTAGATGGAAAATATTTTGCAAGATCATTAGAAGAATTTCCATTAAAAATCTGTTTGAGGGAGCTCCTTCCTGATTCTGAAAATGAAGTTGTAAAGGAGCAGTCTTTTTTTTAAGTTGTATTTGTACTGGGAATTCTCAGAAATCCCAGCCAAGAATTATTGTAGCATTGTACAAAGCTGAAATTCCCTGTAGCTCTATGTTTATCACTTGCTAAGACCCCATGACAGCATATGCTTTTGTAGTCACATATTTACTCTCTGTGACTGCAAAATTTGCTGTCTAGTTGAGTGAAATCACCTGTCTTTAGTCATTCTGGTCAAACTTGAAAAACGGAATTATTTATTATTTCTCAAATACTTCTGTTTCCTCTTGATTTTCTTAATTTTTACTTGCTCGATTAAGTACCATGTCCTCCTGTGAATCTTGGATAGAAATATGCTTGAATGTTTTGCTGATGTAAGTTCCAGGATTAGATCCATCACAAAAAATTTTGGGTTCTTTTGAAAAATATGAGATTTTAATTGTTCTTAATTTTTCAGCATAGGAGTCCATCACTGTAATCCACACTTTAAGAATGACCGAATGATTTAACTGTATGGTAGTTCCCCTTGGATATATATTGTATTTAAAGGTTGAAGTAAGGCTTGATGAAAGTATTTGCCTTTAGCTGTTCATTGCTTCTTTATCTATTGCTTCAGCTGTGAAAAGCTTTTTTATTTGGTTGAGGCTTGTTTGTTTCTCACTGCTAAACTTTTCTAACATTTTAAAATTTGGCTTTACATGCAGGTTTGAATTTTCACTTCTCTTTGGAGTATTTTACATGCTAAAATGCTTTCTGTAAAACACAGCTGTAAAAAAAAAAAAAAAGTGAAGTAAATCTATACTTTATGTCTTCTTGAAACTTTATTCTCTTTAAAAAGGGTTTATGTAATTTTACATAATTCTTTTGGCAGGAATGTTTATTGCCCAGCTGGTTGAAATTATTAATGTACCTCTCAAGCTGCATTTTCAAAGATCAGTAATATATATATAAACTTTTTGGAGGGTCCTTGATATGTAGGATTTTTATTGGAGATCCTTGTTCCACTTCAGTAAAAGGATGACACAAGATGTTCACTTTAAAAAGTCTTTGACATCCTCCTGAGAATGTTTTGATAGAATGGCATACATTTGGTTACAATTAGTAAGCCAAACAATTTTCCATTGTTATCTCACTGTGTTTGTCTAGACCCTGTAAGGAGCTTTCAGAAAATATCCATCTCCATGTTTCAGTTAATTGATTGCATGTCCAGCAGGATTATTCTATTTTATAAAGCTCCTTTTCCTTTTAATTTTATCACAGAGATTTTACACAAAGGCATGTGGTAGAAAGCAAAAGGGAAATACTGGCACAGTTAAGCATAAAGAGATATTGTACTTGTATCAGGTCTAATAGTCCTGTGTGTGGGAAAAAATATCTATGTGTTCCTGCTACTTCTGTGTGCAAGATGTTATACCCGAGGGCTGAAAGTAATAGTAGCTGGTGTGAAAGTATTCACCAATATCAAGTGCAGATGAAAGCCTTTGGAGCCAGCTGAAAGCTGAGTTAATAATTCTTCGGCTTAATATTTGAACTTGCACTCTGTCTGGAATAATAAATGATGGGTGACTTAATTTTATTTTAATTCTATTAGCAGTGTGATTAAAAGACTCAAATCCTTATCTGAAATCTTTGCTGTTGTGTTTTGGTTATTTGCCGTATAATCTAGAGTATCATCTTTCCTTTTGTATGATAGCTGAAATACATCTTTCTCTTGACTGTCTTACTTTCTATTTAGAAACTGCTAAGTCTCAGCCAAAATCATTGTCTGTCTGTTTGGGCAGTAAAAACACCTTGCTACGTGCATCCCATATTGCTTGCAGTTGATTGGAGGTTACATGATTAAGCTGGCTGTAATGTGAATTAGTGTCTATGTCACAGAAATTCCCCGTGCAATTATCACCCCTCGGAAATGCTGCAGTGCCAGGTTTAGGCCTGATAACAAGAACTGGTGCTTCTGTGCCTCCTTTAATCATCCTCTTTTGTTTACACTCTTTTTGAGAAGCCACTGATCACAACTCCTGTAACAGTAGGTACACGCTGGCAGCAGAGGAATGCAGAGCTTGTTGTGCTATTCTGCTTCATAAACCTGTGTCCTTGAAGTCTCCTGCATCCCTACCCTGTCAGACTGGTAAGGTTGTGCTGCTTTTATGAATTCTTGGTGGGAGTAGTCAATACTGAATTGAATAATTTCTTTTTGAATTATGTCTTTAACACACCAATTCTGGAAAAGGTCTGCTGGGTTTCAGATAGGTGCATGGGAAGAAAAGCCTGAGAAAGAAATTTGTCCTCCAAAGAAGGCAGAAGTGACTGAAGCACTTTCTGCAGTTGTCACCTCAGGTCCTTTGGCAGGGTGGGAAAGGACAGACTTGCCCACAGTTGTCCCTCATCCTGTGTGGCCCTCCAAGCAGCCCTGCAAGGGAAGGTCTCTGTCTGAGTCTCTGCACCACAACACAAAACTTGTGCCATGGCACCAGCATCTCTGTGCAACAAAATCACAGTGCCTGGTGTTTCCAAAGCTGGAACCAAGGGTTTGGGCCCCTCAGTGCATCTCTGCAGCAAAGTCAGCCCTTTTAATTTCCTTGTCATCAGAGCTGAGTTATGTCAGTTCATGTTCTCTAGAGCAGTTTGAATTCAATTTAGCTAGTGATTAAGTTACTTTGTGTGAATTGGATGCTGGTAGGAGTGTTTGTTCAAAGGGTTAACTTAACCTTCCCCAAGGTTGTAACGGACACTGGAAGATCAAAAGCTCCTCCAGACTCTCAGAGAGAAGAAAAAAGAATTGCTTGCTTTTACAGTTTTCAGTCAATGTCTTCCTTCTGGGAAGCAAGTCTGTGTTTGACTTACTTAAACTCATGGTACAAACAACTCATTTTGCCTCTAATCATAAACATAATTTGTCTGGTTTCTCTGTTCTTCAGATTTATGCAGTAGCCATGTTTGTCAAAGTATTTGGCACCAATGACATCATCTCTGTTGAAATGCTGGACAGCGTGATGAGTCCCAGATGTTAATGCACACCAAAAGCTGAGAAAGAATGAAATATAAAGATCAACTGTAACAGCTATGGAGGTAATAAAAAGTGATTCTGTTTTCTTCTAGTATTTAAAAATAATTATTTATATATTTTTGAGGTTTGTTTTGCATACATGATCAGTTAGGGACTGTGCTCACTATTTTGTGTATACATAAGGAAAGACTGAAATGTGAATTTGGATAAATGCTGAATGAAGCATGATTTAACTTCATAATTGTACTATTTCCTTTGTGTTTTTTTCTAATCTTTTACACTTTGCTTGTGCAGATTATGATATATGCAGAATATTTGTGCTAAGATCTAAATGTGACACTTTCTTAACTGCCAGGGTTTAATTTGTCATTTGGATAAGGGTCTTGCACGTTTATGTCAGCACATCATGTTTTCTAATGAACTGTAACATGACATGCCAATGTAACCAAGAGTAGCACCCCTTCCTAATGACATGTCATGTCTGTGAAATGTAGAAAGGATGTGACTTGCTGTGAATCAGACTTGAATTTCTTTTTTAATTTTAAAATAAAATCCTTCTCTGTGCTCCAAAAGTAGCTTTCATAGAAGTATGGTTTAGGTTCTTAAGGAGAAAAATTATGCAGGTAGCTGGGCATGGTTTCATAGTGACCACATATCTGCCCAAGTGCCCCATGCTGCTTGGTAGAGAAAGCATTAACAAATAATATATCCATCCATCCAGAGCATCCTCAGATGAATAAGGCTGACCTAATATTTGCATGGAAAAATCAAGCAGAGATGATCCTTTAATTTTCTACCAATAATGAATTCTTCCTTTGCATCATTCTGTTGTCTAGATATTGTTCACTATCATGAAAAATTCCCATATGCACAGTGAAAAAATTTACTTGGAAAATATGTTTCTTTAATTTATTGCAGCAATTCTCCAGACCTTATAGGTATAAAAAAAATTGTATTAAACTCACAGAGAGAAAAAAGAAATGTAGACTTTGCACACTGAGGTATTACATCCCATAAAGATGCTTAATCAGTTGGATGTATAACACATATGTCATTGTCTTGTCTTAAAAGTCTTCATATCAGAAAAAAAATAGAAATACATCAAAATATAACCTTGTTTTAGTTCTTCTTAACAGATTATCCTTCATCTCTTTTTTGGGAGTGAAAGTTTTGGCATTAGTCTCTATACAAGTTTTCTGAAACCTGAAAGCAGCAGTGGCAAAGTCTGTGGAGTTGGTTGTGGTGCAGTTTTCACTATGCTGCTCAGTTCTGAGCCAGCCATTTGACACTGACATCTCTGAGTATGGGAATTATTCTGAAATTATTTGGATTTTCTTACCTTTTCTTTCAGACTGCATGCTAATTTAGGAATAAGCATTAAAACCCAGATAATTTACATTGTTCTTTCTGTTTATAGGTCTGTACTCAGTTTACATCTGATGTTCATACATGAAGAATCTGGGATTTTTTCAAGGGTTCCTAAAGCTGTTGAGACTTACAGGTGAGTCTTTCAGAACCTCTTACTAAAGCAAACATGTCCACAGAATTGTGCTAGATTCTATTTTCAAAATTACTTATGTTAGGGGTCTCATTCACAGTTCTGAAAGCAGCTTGGATGCTTAGTACATTAGATCTCACTGACCTTCAAAGGGACATCTAAGCATTTATGGTCAGATACTGAATGTAAGAGGAGCCTGGTAGGATTCTTTTTATAGTGTTTCATCACCTCAATCCCTTTGAAATTACTTTAAACATTTTTCTTCAATTTAAAAAATGGGGCATGGATCTAAATCATATGTGTACTTAAGAAAATATTACCTACAATTTATTTAAACCTTGTGGATACTCCAGAAAAAAGGTGTGTTGTGGATGCAGTGTGTTAGTAGGAAATGTGTGCTATGAATTTTGGGACAAATCTTGGGGTTTTGCCATTGATGTGTCATTTTTAGTCATTTCTTGCTGAGCTGTATCATTAGAAATCTGAGTCACATAGGCCATGTTTAAATTACATATCAGATGACCTAAGTGTTTAAGGCAAACTGGTGTAATTCAGCATCACTTTAAGCAATTTATGCCACTGAAGATCAACTCCCTCAAAGTCCTGCATCTTCCTGAGTGGAATTATTTTACCTTCTCAAGTTTTTGTTTTTACATCTCATTTTAGTCAGGACCCCCTACCTTCCCATCCCTGTCTTATCTGACTGGCTTGTAGCACTGATGCAATTACTGTCTCCATATACACTCTACTGTTTGTCTTAAAAAATAGAAAAATTTCACCTGAAACACAACACCTGTTTCAGATAGTGTGTGAAAATTCTGAAGAAGCAAATCTCAGGGGACAAAACAGAACTTTGCTGAGGGGTGAGGAAAATGTTAGTCAGTTATGATAATGCAGTATCCTATAATGTAGTAAAATATCACACAATATAATGTTTTTTCTATTCTTTAATGCCATTTTTATTTGCTGAATAATTAATAGGTTTTCCAACAGATTAAGTTTTCTAACAGCTTTCCAGTTTTGCTTATTTTTTTTCATACCTCCATCCATTTTCCTGCAGTCATTCCCTTTCCCTTCCATCCTTATGGCCAGAGAGCTGTGCTATGACATGCTGAAAAATGTTTACTAAGGTGATTAAAAGTCACATTCAAAGTTATTGATTACTCATGCAGCGACTTCTTGCCAGACTACTCTATTTATGCCAAACTGTGTTATCAGACTCTCTGCTAGCACAGCTTTAGTGCAGTGGCTTTTCATCAGTTCTGCTTAAAATACATTGAAAAACATTTTCCAGAAGCCATGCCTGTGATGTTGAGTGCAGGCTTTGCAGCTGTCTCTGTACCTCTTAGAAAGGTGAAAAAGCAATGACTTAACACTCTGTACCACCCAAGTCTGATTTTTTTTGTCTAAGGTCACCTTATCTTTGTAGATCTTTGAAAATGATCATGAATATTTATGATGGCATCAAAAAATCAAGCAGCTGCAAATTGTTTACAACATTTTTTAAGAATGTGAAGCCAGCTTCTACTATAAATCAAATACATCTGCTAGAACTGGATGAAAATTGAAAGCTCTTTGGTTCCATCCTATCCTCTTATGTGCCTGAGAGCTGAAAAATCATCAGTAGCATGATTCCAAAACACTGATGTGGGCTATATAGATAAAAGATATAAGCTGAAGTAAAGTATCAAATTAATCATTCTAAAGATAGCACATGAAAGTATTTTAATGAAATATTGATCTGAAATAGATGCCATAAAACTTTGTGGAAACTTTCAAAATGTTGAATCAGTCTGTCTAAAATTTTATCTTGTGTGTTTTCCCTGCCTTTAGAAAAATACCTTCTTCCACCATACAGCAGTTCAGATGTGCATATTTGAAAAAAAGGGCACATTAAAAATGTACATAATATTGTCTTCAAATATTTGTTGGATTTTTCTTCTACAGAACCATGATTTACAATCTGCTACAAATTTAATAGCTAGATGGAGAAATAGGCAGAAGTAAACAATTTTAAATCTTGGCACTGCTGCCAAATTGGTATTTAGATTACATTTATTGTATGAAAACATCAAAATATTTGGTTTAGTTCAAACTGGAGGAATAATGTGTGCTTTAGATGAGGCACACTATTTGCCTAAAATTATCTTGAATGAAAAGGAATACTCTTCAGTCCCCAGGACTATGATTTTCAAACTTGTTCTTGCCAAGTGCTGCCACCAGAGCCATGGTGACAGCAGCCTCAGCCTGCAGCTCTGCACAGGCTCACATGTCAGGGAGCAGACCCTTGCATATCACTTGAGGTATGTGGATTGCAACTTGGGAGTGCTGTGTTGAAGCTCTTAATCCATTAAAATGCAACTGTACTAATAAGCAATCCGATTTAGGGACTACAGTGTCATTTTACCTCTCTTTGGGAGGTTTCATATTTTCTGTATTTGGTTTCTCCATTTCTCCCTACCCATTAAATGCTACTTGCTCTGTCCCTCGGTTTTTCACTGAAATTGTTTTGGCTTGAAAAGCATGTGGGATTTTCGGGTCTTCCCTGTTTCATGTTTTAAGAATAATTCAGGGACCTGTATGCTCAGAGGCGCCTGTCCACTTTGCAAGAGGATCTTTGTTGTCTGCCATAGATATAGTTCAGTCCATTCGAGAAGTGGAACAATAAACTCCATTTCTTTTCCTGCTGCCCAGTGTTACAGACAGTCACAGACCCTCCATCCCTGAGCAGCATTGCATTACAATTCAAGTAAACCTCCTTCAAGCAGCATGCAAGCCTTCATCAGAGGGCAGAACGCTAGTCTGAGAGGATAATAACTGAGACATTCTTTTAATAAGGACCATTTTTAAATGTTAAGAATGACTTGTTTTAATTGAAGGAGAGGAAAGGAACTCCTACCAAGAGTCAAAGAGATCCCCCAGAGCTCTCTGAAGTCTTCAAATTGTCTTGTATAGAAATGCCTGAGTATCAGAAATGAACGAAGGTTAAAAAATCTTTCAGCCATCTCACTGTAAAGTTCATCTGAGGAGGTTATTTTATTCAACTGTTAAAAATTTTGCTTTAGTTTAAAATGAGATACCTGACCACTCTATTTACTGAAGGCAAATCATGAGACTCATTTCATGGACCCAACTTTTGCTGAGTTTGTGTAAGCAGGGATGCAGAATAATTACCATTCATCCATTCTTTTCAATCTCCTATACAATATCCACCTGTTCTGTCAGACAGCAGGAATGTTTGCCACAAATACAGACTACTGCAGTGACAGCAGCAGGTGTATGGCAGCAACAACTAATCAAATCAGCTGAATTGGAGGTGTGAACCACATTGCACTTCTGTGCAGTGAAAATGAGCAGAAAGGACAGAGCTAAACGGTGGGGAATTTTTGTTTTGTTTTATTTTTAAGATCTTGCTTTTAAATTATAGGCAGTGCAACTGCTAAGTGCAAGAGGAAAAAATGAGGACTTGAAAAGAAAATGACACTTCATTCTTCCTGCAAAGGACAGGGAGAGTGACATAGGTATAAGAGACACCCATTGTAATCACTCTCAAAAAGCAAGGCATGGGTTTTGATTTTCCTAAAGAAGCAAATGCAAAAGAACTCTTGTCTGTACCATATGACTCATGATGCTTCTTTACCAGGCTTAAAGAGAATTGAACTTGAGTAATAGCACCATTAGAGCTCTTTACCAGGAGCTAGTTCCTGTGGTTTCACTGGGTCCAGCTGCTGATGACTCACAGAGGAAGTGGCAGAGATTAGGTGCACAGGGAAAAAATCAGAACAGCTCAGAAATAAAGCAAATCAACCAAGCATTACCTTTTGTGCACAACAGAACAATGGCTTAACAACTAAGGTTCAAAATGATCTGTCTTATTCCCCTCATTTGTGCTATTCCTGTTGGAAGGACCACCAGGAAACATGTGAACCACTGTGGAATACACACTGTAATCCATGGAACATCTCAATTAATATTCCCTCTTGACTACAGCTAGAACAATACATAGCATCAAGAAGTTTAATCTCCAGCAATAATGCCTTTTGTAAGATCAAGAGGTCTTTCCATTGAATTAAGGTTTAAATGAGGATTTTGAAAATTAGTTAGATATTGTGCATAGTGTCTGGTGGTGGCTACAGGTTCCAAAGCTAGGTAAAATGCAAAGACACAGTCTGGTTTTCATTAGGAATATTGTTGTTAGTAGTTTCTCCTTTGTAAATTGACATTGGTGCCCTGTAGAAGAGAATTACTTCCCCCAAAAGGATTTGTTACAAATACATCCAAGATTATATAAAATTTAAACATTGTCTCTGGTATTCGGTTTTGTGCTACAAAAAAGTACGTCCCCGGCAGAAAAAAGTTAAAGCATCTAACTTAAAAGGGAAGGTACAGTAGGAAATATTCTGGATCTTGTTTAAATTGCTATTGTACAGTAGTGGTGCTGCTGTTAGATCACATCACTACTGTCTCACATACTGTAAACATCTCAGGGGATGTTTTCTTCTTGGAAATTGCAAACAGTTTAAGCTCTAAACTGCTTGGGGAGGACAACTATTTTGACTAGATTTTACCAGTTCTTTAAAAATTTTTTTTGAAAATTAGTATTATGTACTAAGAGCACCCTAGCAAAAAATATTGCTGATTTTGTTAGATCAGCAATTTATCCTTTGTTTTTAAAAATAAATTGGAATAAAAAAATTTACCCACATTCCACTTCTTATTTTCCATAAGAATTTCAGAGGCAAGATCAGTTAGTAATTATTCAGAGATGCCTTTTATAAACATTTGCTGTAGTGATTAATGTACAACAATTCACAGCCACCTAGATTATCAAGTAATGCACTTTACTTTACATGTTTACCATCAGCTGGCATTTCAAACCCCACAAGGTGACTCTGTGACATTGGTGCATGGCCTCTGCCACACAGGGTTTTGAAAAGGCCCACGCTACCCTGAGCTTCAGGTGTGCTCCAGCTTATGCAATAAGCACTTGAAAAAATACTGCC